TAGATCAATGCTTGGGTCCCACGCCATACAAAGAAGCCCAACTGGGCAGCAGATTGGAAACTAATTGAGCACTGATTACTTAATGGGCCAAAAGCCCATTTCGAAGTGGGCTGATATGATCACCCACTTATGGGGTGAATCTGAGAGTAGGGTTAGCTGATAGGATGGGGTTTTAACCCTATCCACTCTTAGAGACCATGATTTGAATATGGTAACCTTCTGATAAGATCAGGAGTATGCTAACTTAATCTACAGATAGGATTAAGATTATCCCCATCCAAATATAGATTTGGATTGGGATAACTCCTAATAGGATTAGGGGATTCTTAATCAACAAGAAAGGAGGAAACCCAATCAAGAATGATTAGAATTTGAACCTAGGGTTTTCAGAGGCATTATTCTGAAAAACAGAGATAGGATCTCACTCTCTCTAAGCTGAAAACTGCTTCTACGCCAATTCAGCATTAGGGAACTCCTCCAACCGCCACCACTTGTTGCATAGTTCGATCTTCACTGAGAAGGGAATCAATAAATCAGTTCTTGATATCAGTTTTTGCTGAAAAACTGATCAAGTTCGGTGCTCATTGTTTCTAGAGGATTCTTCTGAAGAATTCGGTGTGTAGGACGCACTCAGCTGGTTCCGTTCCACAGTTGCTGTGTCATCTTCAGCAGGAGCGGATCTTGGTGTCTTCTCTGGGCGTGAACACCAACTTTGGAAGATATTATTTCTCTGGATCAGGTATAATCCCTCCCTTGTCTTTTGGTTCAGATCTGGTTCGGTTATGGTTCAAGTAGGATCCTTAAATTTTGATTCTAAATCAGGGAATATGATTCCCAGTTGGAAGAAAGTGGGAAATTTTTGAAATTCGCCCTACCCTATTCCGCAATCTTTGGCGTCCATACGATAGATCCCACCATTCTTTCAAACTAATCTACGAGAATCAAAATATAAGAGAGGAAACCTTTTACAGTCAAAAGAGAGTGCCCAAAGCACAACAATGGTTGAAATCTGAGAACACAATCCAAAAAAGGAAAGACTGGCTGCTGCCTCCCAGAAGAGATGTATAGATCTCTCTCAATCCTTCTCCAATCTCGATGAAATTTTTAGAGTATGAAGAAAAGGGCTAGGTGACACTTCCTTTCAAGTTTTACCACAAACATATGCTTTTCGAGAGAGATCCAATGAGATCTCTCTTGCTGATTGCGCAGAACAAAGAAAGCTGGTTCCTGGATTGATCAAAACAGTCCAGAACCAATCGTAAAAGAGAAGAATCCTCAAATAGTTCAAAAGAGAAGAAAATGAATCAGAGAACAGCCCGCTCTGACACCATGTTAATTTGAGAGAAGGAGAAAAGACAGGAAGAAAGCCAAGAATTCAGATCTGTTAGGGTTGATCAGTATGATTGAACCAACGACCGTCAGGAACTTTTCTGTTCTCTGGGAACTTCTTGTATTGAGAGACTCTGATTTCCTGGATTTTCTTCTTGCTTTGACTCTACATCTAGAAAGGCCTACAAGGGGGTAGGAGAAGATGCAAGAGCTTTGAAAAAGGATGCACGAGAGAATGATCCAGTGGATGTAGGAGTCCAAATTCATCCGTTGGGGATAGAGTTATCCAAGAAAGTCCTTTCTAAGCTTTGTAGCAAGGACAAAACCTCTAGTGAGAAATTCCTTGAGTCCTCTCTTAAAGTCAAAACCCCAAGATAACCTATTGTCTGAGGGAGAGATAGAAAAAGGAAATAAGTTTGTCCTTTTCGATGGAATATAAATAAAGTGTTTGGGAATCCCCCCTCCCACTAGATATCCTCTCCCGTGTCATAATCTATGTTTGTTGCCAGAATAGACATAATACCTTATTTGTACGAGAGTGGCAGTGCTCTGGATGTTATGGGAGGAAAGGAATGCAAGAATTTTTGAGGAGAAAGAAAGTAGGGGGCAGTAATTGAGACTCACATTTAGGGTGGCATATTGGGTGAAGACATTAGATCTTTTTTCAGATGTTACAGTGGATGATCTTGTCAGAAACTGGAGGGTAATTGCTGATTCATCATCTAAGGAACAAAAGACTTGAAAGGAGTGGCTACCACCAGGTAGTGCATGAAATTGAACTTTGATGGTAGCAACTTAGGTCATTCTGGGCCTTCTGGAATTGGGGGTGTAATAAGGGATGAAAATGGAGCCATAAGGGCATTGTGTTCAGCCCCAGTTGGTGAGGGAGATTCAGTTAGTGCAGAAGTAACGTCAGCAGCTTTTGGGGTGCAGAAGGCTAAAGAAATGGGAGTGGAAAGGCTGGTTATTGAAGTTGTGATGTAGGACCAGCTCAGTTCTAGTCCTTAGAGAATGTTGAATGGTCTTCTTGATCAGAGTTTTATGGCTGTTAATGGCTGTAATGGCTTCTTWAAGGAATAAGAGAGAAAATAGGGAGAGAAAGAAGAGAGAAAATACCTGGAATCACTAACAGGGTGCCTAGATTCACTCTAGGGCATGGGAATAACTCACCATAGCTAACATAAGCTGAATAAAACTCAATATGATTCATTGCCTTTGTGTAAAACGTATATACATATTTATAGACTCTAAACTCATAATAATCCTAGGAGTCAAACTGTTAGACTTATAATAGTCTCAGGAGTCAAACTGTTAGACTCAATAATCCTAGTAGGATTGTTGGACTCCAACATAAACAAACTATAACTAGACGGTTTAAACCATTTCATTGGACCTCACAGAAAATTGCAAAAATGACTAAAATACCCCTACTATCCAAAAATACATAAAATATCATAAGATTTCAATTTTGACTCTTCAGCTCCTGCATCAAGTTGACTACAAAGTGGTGATCAGTTGTCTAGCGAAGAACGAGAGTGCAGCGTGGAGCTTTAGAAATGAAGTCAGAAATGGCATTCAAGAGGCATGCTGATTGAATCTCAATGGGTGCAAAGGTTGGCAAATAGTTTGTTGGACGGTTTGGAAAAGCAAGGGGCAAGTAGACAACAATTGATTTGGGCTCAAATGTAATCTTTTGGAGGGGTGAGATAGAAAAGAGTATGCTCATGTTCATTTTCTGTTTGTACTATTGGGGAAGGGATGAGATGGTAGGAACTATGCTCATTCAAAAAGAAAAAAAAAAGAAGATAAAAAAAAGACATACTACCTTACAAATTGCAGACAGATAGGAAGTTGGCCAGTGATGGTTTTCCAAGGTATAGGCTTATTAAAAATGCATCTGTGCTATGTCAAATTCATTCGGCTTGATACTCTGAAATGTCTTAACAGTTAACTTGTGTCAAAGTCATTCCATTTGATGTTATTTTAAACATTTTTGTGAACAAAATGTTGACACTTAGATTACGAGTTAATAGAGATGGTTACATGGTTGTATATCAGCTCTGAAATTTATATTTGCCATGTTTTTGGTAGATTTTACCTTATCATGTATTAGCTTCACTAGATTCCTTGCCTCACTTTCTGTACTATTCTGACAGGATAATAGACAACAAGTCACTAAGGTTGATTACTGAGTCTTTGGAAAGCTTTTCAACTAAGTATGATAAAGATTATCTGGACGCAACCACTCGCGGTATTCTACCTTTTGGTTATTTAATTCTTATTGCATTATTTATTGGTCTTCAGTTATTTTTTATTACATTTTGGTTTTTGGTTTTTTCTCTGTTATGTAATTAATGTATACATTGTGATTTATACCTTGATTCTTTCTTTTCCTATTTATCCTTTTCTTAAATTATTTGATTTTTGTCGAACTCAAGATTACCAATGCCCATTTGATTTTCTGATAAAGTGATCTTCTCAGAGATGTCTCAGAAAGAGTTTCTTTTGACTTGAGATCAGTAGGGAATTTAGAAAATGGAAAGGGATCTTCAACTCAAAGGAGTGGAAAGCCTGAGCCTCTGTTTTTTAAGCATCTCCCTCTCTCTCTTTTTTTTGATCAATGACAAAAGCTTTCAATAAACAGATATAAATAGTAGTTACAAGGAGGGGGAGATAAACTATCTCAACTCCCTGAGCAGAGAGGCAAGAGACCCCAAAAAAATAAAACAGAATTACAATAGAGCCCAGAACATAGATTACTGAATCACCCCTTGCTTGGCTAACTCATCAGCAAAAGAGTTAGCAGATCTCTTCACCCAACTGTACTTTACTTTCTTATCCTTAGTCAACCACTTGAAAATTTTCTTCTCATTGCTGTAGGTCCCAACCCAGTCTTATCTTCTTTCAGCCACCTTACTACCACCTCCGAGTCACCTTCAACTACAAGCTTCTGAGAAGATTCTTGAGTTTCTTTCTTTCCACAAAGACCAACATACAACAACCCTTAAGCATCTCCACATGATCCTACCTCTTTTCAAAAAACAGGGGCCTATACTCCTCCCTGCCCCTAATCCCCTATACTTCTTCTTCTTCCGCCCCTATACTCCTCTCAACCCTTCCTAGTTCCTGCACTTATTTTTATTTTAGTTAATAGTTAGTCTACATGCTTGCTAGTTATTGTACATGTTTTCTAGTTATATGAAATTTATACTCATTTGAATGATTTATAGAGTTAGTAGTTAGTGTACATGCTTGCTAGTTAGCACACAAAACCAATAAAATAGCTTAGAAAAGCATAGATAAAGTAAAAACTTAAGAAAATTAACATTTTGAAATTCCAATGCCTAGGCGCCATGTGGTCGCCTAGCCTCGCCTTCATGTCTTGAAAAATACGGTGCTGTCCATATCTGTATCCCTAACAATCCTTCTCAAATTCCACTAAATCCTAGAACTGGAGGTAGAAGGGACAAGGAAGGAAGAAATGGACTCATTTTTTAGATCAGAAAGAGCATACAAAGGAGGGAAACTAGTCCTTTAAAGGGGTATTCCCCACCCAAGTTTGTTCCCAGAACTTTATAAGGTTAACCGAATTTAAATTATACCTGATCAGAGGGGAGAAGGCTGGTAAAAGATCATGAATGGCTTTCCAAGGTGAAGCACTTTAGTCCTTGCCAGAATTCTAGGATCCCATCTGTTGTCCTCGAGCCCATGCTAGCCACTATTCTAGCCCATAGCTTCTTCTTCTCTAAAGGAAACCTCCATAACCACTTTCCCAATAAATCCATATTCCTTTTCCTAATGTTCCGTATCTCAAGCCCTCCTAACTTCTTACTTCTGATCACCACCTTCGAACCCACTCTATGGTCCCTCTTTTCCTCTCTCAGCTCCCATGGAAAGTCCTTCATCAGTTTTTCCTGCTTGTAAGACACTTCTGCTGGAATCTTGAACATTGACAACAAATAGATGGGTAAATTGGCTAGGGTAGCCCTAATTAGTGTGATCCTCCTCCCAAGAGAAAGATAATTCTTCTTCCAAGAAGCAAGTATCTTCTCATATCTTTCCACCACTGGATTCCAAAAGCTTCCTTTCTTGGGATTATCTCCTAGGCGTAAGTCTAAGTAATTCAGGGGCCAATTTGAGACTGTACACCCCAGCAGATCTGCATACACCCTAACCTCCCTTTCCTCCATGTTCACACCCACTACACAACTCTTCTCAAAATTCACCTTAAGGTTGGATATTTGTTCAAAAAGCTGTATCACCATTTTCAGATTTCTAATCCAGCTTAAGTCCCCTCCCTCAGAACAGGATTGTGTCATCTGCAAATTGTAAATGGGTAAGTGAAACCTACTCCCTCTTTCTCTCTGCATGCTTGTATGTGTATGTGTGTGCGTCTCTCTCTCTGTATATCCATTTATCTATCTTATATATTATCCCTTCCAGTTTATTTTATCCTTTTGTGTCTCTCTGCTCTTGTTCTCCACTCTTCATCTCTATTTACCAAACCCATCTTTCTCTCTCTCTCTCTCATGCAATATATACATGCATATATGTATGCATGCATGATAGAAATGGCTTAAAGTCTGAAGTACCTTTGTGATGATACATTAGTTTTCCTTTTCCATTACCTATTCAAGAAATTTTTCCTTGAATGTTATCAATTATACTATAAAATGTAAGTTCTGTGTTTATATGCTTTCATCCTTCAGAAATGTATTCTTACTCAGGTTGTATGGGTTGTTTGAATATGTTTCTCTTTTATCCTTGCTACCATTGGTTTGTATGATATGTAAATGAATTTTTGCAGAGAAGCTTATGTATTTTTCTGAGAAGTTTGACTCAAAGCTATTCTTAGCCCGGGTACACCAAGGTACAAGTGCTGCAGACTTGGAGGCTGGTGCCCTTGCTTTAAAAACTGATCTTAAAGGAAGAACTCAACAGAGAAAGCAATTAGTTAAAGAAAATTTTGACTGTTTTGTCTCTTGCAAGACTACGATTGATGGTATGCTGCTATTGTATCTCACCTGTATTTCCTTGTAATAGAAGTATAATTTAGAGCCTTTTAGTTGTTGATAAGTGAACTTTTCACATGTTTCTTGTTAAACAATGCTTATTATGTATTCTGGTGTGTTCAATTTCTATGGTCAATTGAATGTTCCTCGACTTACATCATTGTGAGGACTAATGAGAGTTCTAATTCTTGGGCAGATATTGAATCAAAATTGAGGCGGATAGAGGAAGATCCTGAGGGTGCAGGAACAGCTCATTTGTACAATTCTATAAATGATGTCAATTCTCTAGCAAATCGTGCTTTTGAAACATTATTTGAGAGGCAGGTGGGAAACATCCTATATTGATTTGGTTTTCTAACTTGAAGATTTTGTTTATTATTTGGGTAAGATGAGATTGATATGTATTTCCTTTTCGTACACTGACATCATGGTAGGCTCAAGCAGAGAAGATCAGGTCTGTTCAAGGAACACTGCAAAGATTCCGAACACTGTTCAACTTGCCAAGCACAATTCGTGGGAGCATCAGCAAGGGTGAATACGATTTGGCAGCTAGAGAATACATGAAAGCAAAGTCGATTGTTCTACCTTCCCATGTACATAAGAATTTCCATCCACTTTAATCAACTTTGGTTTGTATGTGAAATTGTTTTGAGTGTGGCAGATCATTTCTAGTTCTTGTATAATTTTCAGTTGATTCTTGGGATATTTGAGATTGACCCCAACACCCATTCTTTACTTGCATCCAAAAGAACATCCATTCTTAACTTCTGGCAATTTATTACAATTGTGTCTGTTATGGAGTTCATTATCCATCTATAGAAGTTTCTTCTAAATGCTCAATAAAACATAAGAGCATCTTAGTTATATATTTGCATTCTCCGTAATCTTGGCTACACTGAATTTGTATACAAAATTCTATTAATCATGCAAGGATGTTGGTGTTCTAGCTAATACTGCTGTTCCTTGAAGGAAAGATTGATGGCATAATCTGTGTCTAGAACTATTGGAGAATCAACTAGTTGCATTCTGCACATAATGGTTTCTCCATTTCATTGTCTGAATATAATTGTGTGTTAGAGGTCGTACTTTCTTAAAACTAGGTTAACTGTGATTATTTATGTCCATATATATCTCCTGAAGCTTTTGTGTTGTATCTATCTTCAATTTTTTTGATAATAAAAAGAAAATTTTATTAAAATAAAAAAAAGAATACAAAGTGACCAGCAGTCGCCCGAGAGAAAAATGAAACAAACCTCACCTCCAAAAACCAGCCCCAAACCCCTTACAAAAACCAAAACAAATCAGCAACAAAACAAATAAAACAAACACCAAAAAATAACCAACCCCACGAAGTAGGTCTTTGTAGTTCCATCCGAAATCTCCTTAGTTGTGTTTGCCTATGGGAAATTTCTGCTAATATGAGGTAGCATAGAATTACACAACCAAGTCATTACCATATAGTTCTCTTGCACCCATTGTAAGGAATTTGTCTCAGGCTTCTCCTTAGCAATGATGTACTCCAGTTTTCCATGAGCACCAATAGCCATCCTAGCTAAGTCTACCCATTTCAGATATTTCAATACGAATCATGATTCCTTGGGGTTTCAATACGAATCTTATGTCTGAACCCTTCTTTGCAAAAATTGTAATGAATTCTATTGGTTTAGACTTATATTGTACAAGTGATAAATTCTATTGGTTTAGGTACAAATATGATAGACATTACTTAAAAATATTGAACACTTTTCCATATATATTTAGCCTTTTATTGTTATTATCTATATTTATTTTTTTGACAAGTTTGTAACAACTAACATAAAATAAAATAGCAAATCAAGGAGAAAATAAGAAGAAATAGAGAGAACACCTAGACTTAACGTGGTTCGGCTTGGTAGCTTACATCCACGGGAGGAGAGGAAAAATATCCACTATGAGAACGAGAGATACAACTCTCTCTCTCTCTCTCTCTCTCTCTCTCTCACTCTCATTCACACTCTCTTCCTCACTCTTCCACAAATCCTAATCTTACACAACCACTAGCTGAAATAAGTAACAAACCGAAATATATTAGAATTACATAGAAGCCCCTTTTCTTCCATAAATACATATAGGTCCCCATAATTTATACAAATCAACCCAAATATAACCAAATACAATATATCTCTTAATAGTAAAAAATAGAAGTAATCTTATGATTTATGATATGATTCGATTTAACTTTCTCTATGATTTACAATACAATTACGATTTTCAGAACATTATCCATGAGATCATTGACACCTCCCATACCTAATCCAAGGTCAATGTTCAATTTTTGTTCAACTCCACTACCTTTTGTTCCTTTTTCAAATAGCTTTTAGTGAAACAGAGAAAAAGCACTTCCAGGATCAAATCAATCCTTCCTAAACACCCTTCTTAAAACCAAAAACCTTACCTAGAGAGATTTCTCCTTACCTAGTAAGTGGGAATTGATAGAAAGGGGAGAAAGTGCTATTGTCGAAAAAGAGAAGGGAGAGAGAGAAAAGAAGAAAAAATGTTAGGTTGGTCGTGCTAGCACTGATATAGTGTATATATATATACATAGGGAAACTACAAAAATAAAAGAACACAGAAGACAAAAGTGCCCTTGCGACACATAAGTAAGAATATTACATCACTCCCCCTCAAGTTTGGGAATAGATATCAATCATCCTCAACTTGTTACAAAGATCAATATGCCACAATAAACCTTTTGTAAGAACATTTGCAAGTTGTTCTTTTGAGTAGATATATGGGGTGTACATTTATCGATTATCCAATTTCTCCCTTATGAAATGTTTATCCACCTCAATGTGCTTTGTTCTACATGGAGTATAGGGTTAGCTGCAATATTGATGGCAACTTTAATGTCACAATGGAGTGACATAGGACCATCAAGAGGAAAACCCAATTCACCTAACAAATTCTATATCCATAGAAGTTTAGCAACTCTATAGGCCATGGCTCTATACTTTGCCTCTACGCTAGACCTGGCCACCATGCTTTGTTTCTTACTTCTCCAGGTAACAAGGTTTCCTCCCATAAAAGTACAGTAGCCACTGGTGGATTTTCTATCATCCACAAAGCTAGTTCAATAAGCATCAATATAAACTTCAACTTTCATATGTCCATGCTTCTTGAAGAAGAGACCTATCCCTGATAACTTCCTTAGGTATTTGAGTACTCTCTCTACTGCCTCTAAGTTTGTTGCCTTGGGTGTTTGCATGAACTGACTGAGGACTCTCACGGTATATGCAATGTCGAGCGAGTCATAGGTAGGTGGAGAAGCCTTCACACATGTCTTACTTCTTATGACTCCTCTAATTCCTGAAGGATCTGGGTTGCCTTGACTGCTGCCATCAATGTTTAATTTCAGGAAACCTTCAAGGGGAGGTGCCCACATCGACCTTGTTTTAATTTTTTGTGCTGCACTAGATGACACTGAAAATTAGTTCCTCCAAATATCATCAAATGAGAATGGTCTAAATATATCCAAAGTTAGTAGCCAATGTATAACTCTGGTCATTAACAGTCCAAAATTTGTCGTTTGCTTCTCTCCTTTTGGAAGATTTTGCATTTCTTTCTTTCCATGAGGTCCAAATCATTGTTGCAGTTCACCTCTATATTATTCTTTCCCTTCTATTTGGACAAGAAAAAGTAGAAGGGTCAAACAACATCTTAATTTCCATTGCACGTTCCACTTGCAGCCAAACAAAGAGAAAATCCAATTCCAAATGTCTGTAGCATGGGAACATGAAACTAGTAAATGGTAACAAGATTTACCATCGGATTTGAAAAGAGTACATCAGTTCTGGGAAATACACGAGAAAGGACTCTTCTTTTGCAAGTAGTGTAGAGTGCTAATTTTCCCATAAACCACTTCCAATAAAAAGCCTTACTTTTAGGGGAAATTGACTAGCACCAAACTTCCTTGACAAGAAAAGAATGAAGGATAAGGGATTGGTAAAGATAATTAAGAAAAACGGCATAGGAAGATAAACCTTTAGAAATTGGACACCAAACTCTTCTATCTAGTTTAGAAGGTTCTAGACAGACTTAGGAACATGGCACTGTTGGGTAAATGGCTATGGAGGTTTTGGATGGCATAATGTAATTGCAAGCTTCTGGTTTTGGGTGAAACCTAGGCCTGAGAAGGGCAATTAGGGATATAGACTTGGGTTGCATCATGTCCCTGTTAGCCATCCTTGAAAATGTCTTCTTGGACCCTAATAAGGACACCAGATTTTGGACCCCTTCCTCCTCGGGTGTTTTCTCTTGTGCTTCGTTTTTTGAGACATTAACCCAACCTTCTGATCCTATTGGGTTGGCCTTCCCGGTTAGTAAGCCAATTCCTCCTCGGGTTGGTAGTTTTTGTTGGGAAACTTTCCTGGAAAGAATTAACACAAATGACCTACTTCAGAAAAAGAGACCCAATTCTTATTTACTTCCTAATAGGTGTACTCTCTATTAAGCTGATGGAGAAACTGGTTACCACCTTATGGTTACTTGTTCGGTCGCTAAAACAGTATGGGGGTGGGATTTTTCCCTCTGTGGATGTATTTGGATTCCCCCTAGGAGCGTCCAAAGCTTGTTCTCTTCTTCATTTTTTAGATGGCCGAAGAAGAGAGGGAAGATTATGTGGAGAAGCATTAGGGCAGCAGTGTGTTGGTCCCTATGGGAAGAAAGAAACTCACGAATCTTTTCAGACAAGGAAAGAACCCTGGAAAATTTATTAGATCTAATACTTTTAAGGGTAGTCCACTGGCTGAAAGCTATGGAGCTGTTCTCAGGTTATTTTGTGGCTGATTTGGTAAGAAATTGAAAAGAGATAGCTACCTCTGCCCTATGTAAGAGGACTTGTAGCCCTTCTTGGTCCCCTCCTCCCTCTAGGTTCACAAAACTGAATTTTGATGGTAGTTGCTTAAGGAATCCAGGGCCTTTTGGGATTGGGGGAGTGTTTAGGAATGAGGATGGGGTTATCACTGCCATGTTCTCAGGCCCAATTGGAGAAGGAGACTCTCTTAGGGTTGTGACTCTTGTATCCCTAGAAGGTATCCAAAGAGCAGAATTTGACGTAGTTGCAATATATTGATCTCTCCGACAATTCATTGAAAGGGTCTGTTCCAGCTGGATTTTGGTCTATGCCGAGCCTTATTGAAGTCAATCTCACGATGAGTCGATTTGGAGGCAATATTGGTTTTGAGGCAATTGGAGTTGATCTCGAAAGCCTTTCACTCCATAACCGGATTTGACGTCTTGGTGTTGGAATCTGGAGATGGGGACTGCTTGAATCCTCCAATTAAGGAAATAAGGCTTCTTACGAGAAATCTGAATGGATCTGTTTTATGGAATTTTCTTTGGAATTTGACGTAGTTGCAATATATTGATCTCTCCGACAATTCATTGAAAGGGTCTGTTCTAGCTGGATTTTGGTCTATGCCGAGCCTTATTGAAGTCAATCTCGCGATGAGTCGACTTGGAGGCAATATTGGTTTCGAGCCCATGTCGAGAAATGCTTCCGGTTCCTCTTTGTCGTCGATTCAGAAGCTCAATCTCTTGCACAACAGGTTCACCA